TGAGTCTGGAGAAGAAGATTTTTGAAATATTGGATAATTTTCCCTTTGGGGCCCCGCCCTGGCCCCAGGGGTTGGGGTAGGAATCCCAATTTTACAATTTTGAAGCCTCATCTACCAAGGATGATTCTGACCAAGTTTGAAAAAAATCCATCCACTGGTTCTTGAGAAGAAGTTGAAAATGTAAAAGTTTACGCACGACGCACGACGGACGACGGACGACGACGGACGACGACGGACGAAAAGCGATTGGAATAGGTCACTTGAGCAAAGCTCGGGTGACCTAAAAAGCTGTTTAAAATAATATGTAAAGGTTGTGTTTCTGCATAGGATAATTTTAATCAAGTCAACTGAAAAAAACCCACTGCATTTAAACTATAAATCAACTTAAAACTTTATCAATATCAATTTAGGTTGAAATTTGATGCAAATGTCTTTATAACGAATTTAAAAATAAAATCGAACTTCTGTTCCAAGATTATGCAAGAATTAAATTTTAGATTATTCAGTTATTTTGAAGCCAGCAACTTGCCTGAACACTGACACCAAAATCACAAAGTTTTACTTGGCCGGAAGTGTTGACTAGAATGTTGGACGGTTTTATATCTGTAACAAAACAACAATAGATAGCAATGACATTTGAAAATATTATGCAGTTTTATAAAATTAGGTCCCCCAACAGGGGGGGAGAGAAACCAACAACTTAGATGTTCAGGGTTATAAGAAGGTGGTACATTGTAGTACAAATTATAATTCATTTGAGACGTAACACGGCATTTGATTGGTCATTGAACATAATTTGCAACAGTAATCTCATTTGCATATGAAGCCCGGATGGCGATTGTTAATGACGTTGATTACCCCGAAACGTCATGAAATTGATTATTCATGAGGTCAAGAACAATAGCGTGACCCCAAAAGGTCAACGTATTTCGCCTTACTTTGAATATTTGTGACATCACCAATCCAGAGAAGAGATACCCAGAATTTGAAGAAAAAACACTCAAAAATATCTCAAAATCGTCGTTTCTATCATCAATTTTGGTTGATATGAATTAGAATGGGGATAACCCTACTGTATTTTTAAATTTGCGGCGGTATATCAGGATTATACTGTCGCAAATTGAGTTTTACTGGCAACGCGAATATCTAGATCCTGTAGTTTATTTATAGTTCACATGCTTCGTCTGGTCTAGCCAGACATCATCAGAAGCTGCCATCAGCTTAGCCAGCCGAAACATGTAAACTGTAAGTAAACAACAGAATTTAGATGTTGTTGCTCCATCGTTCCTATAACGTATGTTGCTATGGTTACCTTTATCAATAAGATATGCAAAATAGATTGAAAAATCACACCTGACTTTCAAATGTGTAGATTTTTTTTCTAATAACAACATATCTACATATTTGAAAGTCAGGTTTGATTTTTCAAGCTATTTTGTGTTTTGTAAAAATTGTATCTTATTGATATAGGTAACCATGGCAACATACGTTATAGGAACGATGGAGCAACAACATCTAAATTCTGTTGTTTACCAGTGTTCCAATAGGAACAGTCCGTAAAATTTCGCTGACATTAAAATATCAATTATTATAATTGTACAAATATAGACAATACCCAATGAGTCAGGATTGATTTCTATTCTAGTGAGTAAAAAATAAGGAAATTAAAACTGATCATCATGAGTGGAAGATTTTGATTCTAGCAAAACAAGGAACTAACAAGGTAAAGACACCACTGGTATGTCATAACAAGGAACTAAAAAGGTTAAGACACCACTGGTATTTCATAACAAGGAACTTAAAAGGTAAAGACACCACTGGTATGTCATAGCAAGGAACTTAAAAGGTAAAGACACCACTGGTATGTCATACTGTGAAGTTATCAAAAAAACATTGAATTGTAGTACTTTAAATATGAGAGAAACAAATACACATAATATATATGTATTTTTAAGTAATATTGCAAGAAACAAAACATGGGTCTACAAGTCCAGGAGCCTGAAATGCATCCTGGTGATGACATCCTATACCATTTTTTGCACCCCTGAAATCCAGGAGTTATGCTCAGTTATGTTCTCTGCACCCGTGTAATAAGACCTGACAATATCGTAGGCTCAGTGTATACCACCTCCACCCGTGTAATAAGACCTGACAGTATCGTAGGCTCAGTGTACACCACCTTTACACCCGTGTAATAAGACCTGACATTATCATAGGCTCAGTGTACACCACCTTTACAACTGTGTAATAAGACCTGACAGTATCGTAGGCTCAGTGTACACACCTTTGCACCCATGTAATAAGACCTGACATTACCATAGGCTCAGTGTACACCTCCTTTACACCCGTGTAATAAAACCTCACAGTATCGTAGGCTAAGTGTATACCCCCTTTACACCTGTGTAATAAGTCCTCCCATTATCGTAGTCTCAGTGTATACCCCCTTTTCCCCTGTGTAATAAGACCTAACAGCATCGAAGGCTCAGTGTACACGACCTTTGCACCCGTGTAATAAGACCTGGCAGTATCGTAGGCTCAGTGGACACCACCTTTACACCCGTGTAAAGGTGGTGTACACGGAGCCTACGATACTGTCAGGGCTTATTACACAGTTGTAAAGGGGGTGTACACTGAGCCTTCGACACTGTCAGGTCTTATTACGCGGGTGTAAAGGTGGTGTAGACTGAGCCTACGATACTGTGAGGGCTTATTACACGGGTGGAGGTGGTATACACTGGGAGGTGGTGTACACTGAGCCCACGATACTGTCAGGTCTTATTCCCCCCGTGTAATAAGCCCTGACAGTATCGTAGGCTCCGTGTACACCACCTTTACACGGGTGTAAAGGTGTTGTACACTGAGCCTACGATGCTGTGAGGTCTTATTACACGGTTGTAAAGGTGGTGTACACTGAGCCTACGATGCTGTGAGGTCTTATTACACGGGTGGAAAGGTGGTGTACACTGAGCTTATAGGTGGTGTACACTGAGCCTTCGATCCTGTTAGGTCTTATTACACGGGTGTCAAGGGGGTGTACACTGAGCCTATGATAATGTCAGGTCTTATTACATGGGGGCAAAGGGGGTGTACACTGAGCCTACGATGCTGTGAGGTCTTATTACACGGTTGTAAAGGTGGTGTACACTGAGCCTTCGACACTGTCAGGTCTTATTACGCGGGTGAAGGTGGTGTACACTGAGCCCACGATACTGTGAGGTCTTATCACACGGGTGTAAAGGTGGTATACACTGAGCCTACGATACTGTCATGTCTTATTACACGGGTGTAATAAGACCTGACAGTATCGTAGGCTCAGTGTACACCACCTTAAAACCCGTGTAATAAGACCTGACAGTATCGTAGGCTCAGTGTACATCACCTTTGCACCCGTGCAATAAGACCTGACAATATCGTAGGCTCAGTGTACACCACCTTTGCACAAGTGTAATAAGACCTGACAGTATCATAGGCTCAGTGTACATCACCTTTGCACCCGTGTAATAAGACCTGACAGTATCGTAGGCTCAGTGTACACCCCCTTTGCACCCGTGTATTAAGACCTGACAATATCGTAGGCTCAGTGTACACCAACTTTACACCCGTGTAATAAGACCTAACAGTATCGTAGGCTCAGTGTACACCACCTTTGCCCCCGTGTAATAAGACCTGACAGTATCGTAGGCTCAGTGTACACCACCTTTGCACCAGTGTAATAAGACCTGACAATATCGTAGGCTCATCAGTGTACATCACCTTTGCACCCGTGTAATAAGACCTCACAGTATCGTAGGCTCAGTGTACACCTCCTTTACACCCGTGTAATAAGACCTCACAGTATCGTAGGCTCAGTGTCCACCACCTTTGCACCCGTGTAATAAGACCAGACAATATCGTAGGCTCAGTGTACACCACCTTTGCCCCCATGTAATAAGACCTGACAGTATCATAGGCTCAGTGTACACCACCTTTGCACCCGTGCAATAAAGACCTGACAATATCGTAGGCTCATGTACACCACATTTGCACCCGTGTAATAAGACCTGACAGTATCGTAGGCTCAGTGGACACCACCTTTACACCCGTGTAATAAGACCTCACAGTATCGTAACCACATTTGCACCCGTGTAATAAGACCTGACAGTATCGTAGGCTCAGTGGACACCACCTTTACACCCGTGTAATAAGACCTAACAGTATCGTAGGCTCAGTGTACACCACCTTTGCACCCATGTAATAAGACCTGACAGTATCATAGGCTCAGTGTACATCACCTTTGCACCCGTGTAATAAGACCTGACAGTATCGCGATACTGTCAGGTCTTATTACACGGGTGCAAAGGTGATGTACACTGAGCCTATGATACTGTCAGGGCTTATTACACGGGGGTAAAGGTGGTGTACACTGAGCCTACGATACTGTTAGGTCTTATTACACGGGTGTAAAGGTGGTGTGCACTGAGCCTACGATATTGTCAGGTCTTATTACAGGGGTGCAAAGGTGGTGTACACTGAGCCTACGATATTGTCAGGTCTTATTACACTGGTGTAAAGGTGGTGTACACTGAGCCTACGATCCTGTCAGGTCTTATTACACGGGTGCAAATGTGGTGAACATGAGCCTACGATATTGTCAGGTCTTTATTGCACCCGTGCAATAAAGACCTGACAATATCGTAGGGTGTAATAAGACCTGACAGTATCGTAGGCTCAGTGTACACTACCTTTGCACCCGTGTAATAAGACCTGACAGCATCGTAGGCTCAGTGTACACCACCTTTACACCAGTGTAATAGCATCGTAGGCTCAGTGTACACCACCTTTACACCAGTGTAATAGCATCGTAGGCTCAGTGTACACCACCTTTACACCCGTGTATTAAGACCTAACAGTATCGAAGGCTCAGTGTACACCACCTTTGCACCCGTGCAATAAGACCTGACAATATCGTAGGCTCAGTGCACACCACCTTTACACCCGTGTAATAAGACCTCACAGGATCGAAGGCTCAGTGTACACCACCTTTCCACCCGTGTAATAAGACCTGACAGTATCATAGGCTCAGTGTACACCCCCTTTGCCCCCGTGCAATAAAGACCTGACAATATCGTAGGGTGTAATAAGACCTGACAGTATCGTAGGCTCAGTGGACACCACCTTTACACCCGTGTAATAAGACCTGACAGTATCGTAGTCTCAGTGTACACCCCCTCCACCCGTGTAATAAGACCTGACAGTATCGTAGGCTCAGTGGACACCACCTTTACACCCGTGTAATAAGACCTAACAGAATCGAAGGCTCAGTGTACACCACCTTGTGAATGAGACAAGTAAACTGGTTTAATCCTTTGATGTTCATCAAAGAAATCAGGATGCAGCATAACAGTAAAATTGATTGGGTTTGAAGTTGGGTGTCACTCCTCATCACCTTTGCACCCGTGTAATAAGACCTGACAATATTGTAGGCTCAGTGTACACCACCTTTACACCCGTGGAATAAGACCTCACAGTATCGTAGGCTCAGTGTACACCACCTTTACACCCGTGTAATAAGACCTAACAGTATCGAAGGCTCAGTGTACACCACCTTGTGAATGAGACAAGTAAACTGGTTTAATCCTTTGATGTTCATCAAAGAAATCAGGATGCAGCATAACAGTAAAATTGATTGGGTTTGAAGTTGGGTGTCACTCCTCTGTAATCTTCAAAGGACAGGTATCAGTCTAGTGATTGGTCAGGTTTTTAAACATGAAGCCAATCAAATAGTTAACCATATGCCTTTCATGATTTTGTCATGACATTTACCAGGGGATGCAGAAAACATAAATGAACGTGACCCTTGGAATTTTAAGGCTGCCTGAAATGCAAATTCATTTGAATTCTGTTTGAATAAGTTCAATCCAAATGAGAAGAAACATGAGGTTTGAATTTTTTAGCCATTTTCAGTAATAGTGAGCTTGACATTTGACCCTGAAATATAAACTCATTCTGCCATGTGATGAATACATGTATGGATTTTCATTCGAATCAGAGGACGAGTTAATCTTATGAAGAGATTCTGTTTATAAGTGACTTTGACCTGGTATCCTCAACTCTGAACCATGTTTAACGAAAAGACAAAATGAACAAGAGTAAGTAAATGGTGTATGCCATCCCCCTCCTTCCAAACCCCAATCTCTTTACAGGAGCAAAAAAATATCAAATACTCTACATCAAAGAAAGAACCATGACAAAACCAAATTAAGAGAATATTAAATGTGAGGGTATACTTTTAAAAAAACAAATATCAGAAATTGTGGACATGTTATTATTCCAGTGCTATTCCAGTTTAGCTCAATAGAAATTTCCATAGTGACCAGTGTAACAGTTCCCCATTGTGACATACAGTCAAACCTGCTTGAGCGGTCACCTGAAATAAGCAGCCACCTCCCTTATGTGGTCAGTCTGTGGTCCGCTCGATATAAAAAACTTTATAATGAACCTGAAATAAGCAGCCACCTGTCTAATGCGGCCATGGCCAGCGGTCACAAAACTCTGGCCCGAGACATTATCTCCACCTGTATTCAGCGGTCATTTTGTCCAGAAATTGACATCAAGAAGATCACAATATATTAACAAGAACATTGACTGTATACCCACCTCTATGTAATATTTTGAGGCTCCACATGTAGCACAGACCCTGGATGATGTAGACAGCCATACGTCCGAGGACTGGCTCGGGCACCTGTTTGTACCGGTCCAGAGAACCACCTTAATAACACAATCACTAGGCATTTCTTATTCATGCAGTGAAATTTAAATAGATATTTTTATGGAAATGATAATAAGATTCAATATGAAAAAAAATGTCAATTTGACAGCGATTTTACCATCTCTGTAATAACTCTAAAATATATTTATAACTTGCTTCTTCTGTAAGTATTATATATAATGGATTTGGTACAAGAATTTTTTTTGTTTTAAATAAAAATGTGCATAATACACAATTGATTAAAAAAATGAAAGCACAGTGTTCTTTCAGCAACAGAACAATGTTGTTTTTTAAGTTCTGCCTTCTAGATATCTTGATATTTTTTATGTTTACTTCATATTCCATGATCATGTGTTATAGTACTCACTTAAGGGTTATAATCAGCAGTGCAGTGAAGATTGTTTTTGATCAAACACATAATTTCTTATAAGAAAAAAAAGATTTTGTCTCTGATTGTTTCTGGCTGTTTCCTTTCAAATATGGTTCCGTTATATTTTTGTGCATAAAAGAAATGTTATTCACGAAAAGGATGAGTTAATACCAAAGAAATCACTTACCATCCATGTATTCTGTACATATTGAAATTCTATTTTCCACAAAGAATGCCTTGTAGAAGTCTATGATGGCAGGTGAATTGCACTGTTAACAAAAATCAAATCAACATTTTACTCTTCATCATTAAACATCTCAGCTCAGAAATACAATGTACTGTCAACACTGATTTTCAGGAAAGTATTTTATCAATGTAATTATCGATTTCACCAGAATTACAGTAAATTATCATACAGTTTTTATCTTTGTACAAAGGAAACATGAATAGTTGTTTCCCTAAGATTTATCTTCTTTCCCAAGTTTGGAACACAACAGGACCATGGTTGGAGCAAACCAATCGTGTTTCCCACATTTAAGTTGGTATACAAACACATTTTGTTATTTCGGATTACTCTGTTTGTGCTTTTATTCTGTTGGCTAAATTACAATGATCATCGGTGAAGTTGTTGCTGTGTTCAGACAAATCTTAATTGTACCAAGGCTGCTGATTTTGATAATGAAATCTGATATTCTCAAGTTAACGACTTGGACTACATTTGATGTGGTGGATGAGGAAACATTTAACACTCTAATCTGGAACTCTGTCCTTATAAATAAGTGTACTCGAATAAAGATTTGAGGGACTTTTTTTCCCATGGTTCAGTTCTACTCCACAACTTGATATGTAGTTGCACATATATTTTATCATTTGTAACCTACTGGCTGAAGTGTTCCCTGAACATTTAACCAAGCAGTCAAATAGATAAACCAGTGTTTTAACAACAAAACCTGAAGTGTCAGAAAAACAGTCATGGTAGTATATTGTGATACAGGAATTATGAAATATTATAACAGTATGTAGAGACACCTGTCATAAACTTTCATATGTAACGTGTAATATATTATCCTTGTTGATGTAATGAGAAGCAATCTATGTTACTCTTACTACAATACAATATGTTTATGTTACATAAACAGTATGTTACCAATGATGAGCCAACGCTCAGTTATATCCTACCCCACTTGTTAAACAGATTCCCCGTCAAACTTGAACAAGCTCAATGATTGATTCACTCCCCTTCCAATGACTAGCGCACCCAGCTCCCCCAACCCTAGAGTAATTGTGGGTAAAATAGAGTAACTGATGTACCTTGCTGAGTATTAGCTCCCCCAACCCTAGAGATAGCATGGGTAAAATAGAGTAACTGATAAGACGGTGTACCTTGCTGAGTATAAGCTCCCCCAACCCTCGAGATATCATGGGTAAAATAGATAGCTCCCCCAACCCTAGAGTTATCATGGGTAAAATAGAGTAACTGATAAGACAGTGTAGCTTGCTGAGTATAAGCTCCCCCAACCCTAGAGATATAATGGGTAAAATAGAGTAACTGATAAGACAGTGTACCTTGCTGAGTATTAGCTCCCCCAACCCTAGAGATAGCATGGGTAAAATAGATAGCTCCCCCAACCCTAGAGATATCATGGGTAAAATAGAGTAACTGATAAGACAGTGTACCTTACTGAGTATTAGCTCCCCCAACCCTAGAGATAGCATGGGTAAAATAGAGTAACTGATAAGACAGTGTACCTTACTGAGTATTAGCTCCCCCAACCCTAGAGATAGCATGGGTAAAATAGAGTAACTGATAAGACAGTGTACCTTACTGAGTATTAGCTCCCCCAACCCTAGAGATAGCATGGGTAAAATAGAGTAACTGATAAGACAGTGTACCTTACTGAGTATTAGCTCCCCCAACCCTAGAGATAGCATGGGTAAAATAGAGTAACTGATAAGACAGTGTACCTTACTGAGTATTAGCTCCCCCAACCCTAGAGATAGCATGGGTAAAATAGAGTAACTGATAAGACAGTGTACCTTACTGAGTATTAGCTCCCCCAACCCTAGAGATAGCATGGGTAAAATAGAGTAACTGATAAGACAGTGTACCTTGCTGAGTATTAACTCCCCTAACCCTAGAGTTATCATGGGTAAAATAGATAGCTCCCCCAACCCTAGAGATAGCATTGGTAAAATAGAGTAACTGATAAGACGGTGTACCTTGCTGAGTATAAGCTCCCCCAACCCTCGAGATATCATGGGTAAAATAGATAGCTCCCCCAACCCTAGAGTTATCATGGCTAAAATAGATAACTCCCCCAACCCTAGAGATATCATGGGTAAAATAGAGTAACTGATAAGACGGTGTACCTTGCTGAGTATAAGCTCCCCCAACCCTAGAGATATCATTGGTAAAATAGAGTAACTGATAAGACAGTGTACCTTGCTGAGTATTAGCTCCCCCAACCCTAGAGTTATCATGGGTAAAATAGATAACTCCCCCAACCCTAGAGATATCATGGGTAAAATAGAGTAACTGATAAGACGGTGTACCTTGCTGAGTATAAGCTCCCCCAACCCTCGAGATATCATGGGTAAAATAGATAGCTCCCCCAACCCTAGAGTTATCATGGGTAAAATAGAGTAACTGATAAGACAGTGTACCTTGCTGAGTGTTAGCTCCCCCAACCCTAGAGATAGCATTGGTAAAATAGAGTAACTGATAAGACAGTGTACCTTGCTGAGTATTAGCTCCCCCAACCCTAGAGATATCATGGGGAAAATAGAGTAACTGATAAGACAGTGTTCCTTGCTGAGTGTTAGCTCCCCCAACCCTAGAGTTATCATGGGTAAAATAGAGTAACTGATAAGACGGTGTACCTTGCTGAGTATAAGCTCCCCCAACCCTAGAGATATCATGGGAAAAATAGAGTAACTGATAAGACAGTGTAACTTGCTGAGTGTTAGCTCCCCAATCCCTAGAGTTATCATGGGTAAAATAGATAACTCCCCCATCCCTAGAGATATCATGGGTAAAATAGATAGCTCCCCCAACCCTAGATATATCATGGGTAAAATAGAGTAACTGATAAGACAGTTTACCTTGCTGAGTATAAGCTCCCCCAACCCTAGAGATATCATGGGTAAAATAGATAGCTCCCCCAACCCTAGAGATATCATGGGAAAAATAGATAGCTCCCCCAACCCTAGATATATCATGGGTAAAATAGAGTAACTGATAAGACGGTGTACCTTGCTGAGTATAAGCTCCCCAACCCTCGAGATATCATGGGTAAAATAGATAGCTCCCCCAACCCTAGATATATCATGGGTAAAATAGAGTAACTGATAAGACGGTGTACCTTGCTGAGTATTTCTAATTCTGAGATGATCTGTCTCTGCACGTCCACATCTACATCCAGTTTCATTACCTGTAAGACAATAAGATATCTACAGTATAAATATCTCCAAGCGGAACAGGTTGGTAAAAAATGTTTTTTAACTCAACTTATTTTACTTAAAATATTCATTTTATAGCTTCGTGCTCAAGACAAATAACAGGAAGAAATGGTAAACAATTTTCAGAAATGTGACATATTCATTAGTTTTCTGAGGTATCAATATTAACGTTCAACTGAACACAGGTTTTCAAATTAATCTGAAAGAAGAATGCATTTCCATCGCACAGAATATTTCAGGCACTAGGAATGTATTATTTGCTGCTTTTTTTTCCCATTTTGTAAATTATAATCCCAGCATATGAGCGGTTCCAAATGCTGCTTCTAGTGTAATGTAGTATACCTAACCTTTGGTTGCCGATATCTTGCAGGTTAGATGTGTTTTGTCTAGCTAAGTAATCCAATTATTTAAGTATTCTCTGTCACCCATCCTTCCAAAATTCGGCTTTAGGAAACTTTATTGAACATCCTTTGCCATGTTTTGAGTCTTATTTTTGCATTTTAGCGATAATTTAATAGGGGAACCGCAGGGTAAATTGTGATACATTTTCGGGAGACATGCCGCTCTCCTACCGTTTGGACGAGAAATGTTTGTTGATTGCACTGAGGTAGTGGCTGAACATTTTCCGCCTTGTCTATATAGAGCATTTAGTGATGGTTTCTATGAGCTGTAGGCTCATCTGGCTCACGTAAAGAAACGCTGTGAAGATAGAAGGGTTTAGCGGGTAAGCTTTTGAGTGGAAGTGATAGCCGTTTGTTCTTGACCACGTGTTATCTTCATCTTGGAGAAGGTTTTAGGATTTGTTCCAATTTATATAGCTAGGTTGTAAAGTGTGTAAGAATTATAGTAAGGGTAATTTTATACTTTGTTTTGCCCAATTTTGGTGTAAATTTGGAAACCGACGTGCTTTGTTAAGATTGATACTGTAGACGTACAATAAACAGGTAAATCTATATCTGCCTAAGTTGTTTTTTTCACCAATCTCTGCTTCATCTTTATCATATCTTTCTTTATTTAAAAACAATGGAATCTTCAAGCGAAAGCAACAGTCGAACCCGAGTGAGTAGGTAACGGTTATTACAAATGGCGCCCAACGTGGGGCCGAGATAAACGTTTGATACACTAGGTTTATAAAAATCTGCCAAGAAAGGCTTATGGTAAATCTTACCTAAAGACCAATAAAGGTGCCAGTAGGTTTGTGGTAAAACTTACCTTAAAAGCCATAATGGTGCCGGTAGGTTTGTGGTAAAACTTACCTTGATAGCCATAATGGTGCCGGTAGGTTTGTGGTAAGCTCTGTAATAACAAAGAAACGTAAGAATTTATATTCATAGATTTTTTATGTTAACCCTCAATACTTTCGTTATATATTTTGTTGAGAGAGAAAAAGCTGTTAATGTGAATTTTATTTTTTGTGATAGTTCTTCAATGAAGTGGCAGCAAGAATTTGAATTTGCAAAAGGAAATTTAATATTTACCATACATTACTTGTTAAACAGCACCTGACAAAATATTTGCTAGATATCTAATTCACAATCGACTCTCCTAGGCCTTGTGCAAATATACATATGTATATATATTTCACAAAATATCAATCATTTACTCTATAACCTCGAATCATTGAAAGATTTTATGTCAGGGCTTGTGAAAATTGTTATTATCTACTATAAAAATATGCCAGGCTAATAGGATTTTTTAAAATCTGCCTGTGGACTAGTATTCTAAAAATGAAATTGTACATCCCTAATCAGGGCGTCTTCGATTGATAAATAATGTATCGTTGGTTAGCATCAATGCATCACTCTGTCATCAAAGCTTCATCAGAATACAACAAATACTGCCTAGTACATGTACATCATCAGCTTCACTTTGTTTATAAACCTTCCTACAGTCAGTCCATGCTATATGGAGCTCAGCCCTACGCAATATTTGTCACCTATCCATCTTGGTGAGGTATATCAGAATCATGTTACAGGTGTATATCCTACCTGTGGACTAGACCTCCGTTGCCCTTTCCCAGTAACTCTAACACCTGTAGATCAGTGTCACCTATCTCCATGTTTGACAAAATCTGGCGAAGACTGGCTCCACCTGGTGGCTGATAGCCGACTGGGTTTGTGGGTGGTTGTTGGTAACCGGGTTGCTGAATTTGTTGTTGCTGCTGCTGCTGCTGCTTTTGTTGCTGAATTTGCTGCTGCTGCTGTTGCTGCTGCTGTTGCTGTTGTTGTTGCTGTTGTTGTTGTTGTTGTTGTTGTTGTTGATACTGGTTTTGTTGCTGATTTGCAACTTGGTTTGTGTTCTGACTATAAAAATAGATAAGCATACAAATTACCACTTTCTGAAAGTACAAGAGGCTCAAAAGGACTGTACCACTCACCTTTGATTCAATGCTGTTGGCAAACACATTTCACATCTGTGACCTTTAAATGGGTCAAGGTCAAAATTGTTCAAAAAAACTTTAGAGCAAACAAGCTATACACAACATATCACTGCTCTAGTATACATTATGAATCTTTATTGGATAGTGATTAATTTTATTCAAGTGACTTTGACATAAATCAAGGTCATATATTTGAACAAACTTAGCTATTAAGAAGCTACAGGCCAAGTGTGCCTACTGGACATTAGGGTCCCGTGTCTCGCCTCAGGTACTGAGTTCATGACTCACCTTACACTTGGTTTGACCCCTGCAACAAGTTTGGCTGGTTTACTTGTGGACTGTTTGTCAGTCTTTATCTGTAATCAAAATAACAAGACATTATAAGACATAATTGGCCATTTTGATAGAAAGAGGATGTGTTAAGATCTGTTTCTGTCATATAACTCCACTAAACAAAGACACTCAAAGAAATGTTTAACTTTGAAAATTACCTTCAATCCATGGATGTTTCTGTTTTTTGCTGTCTTCCCCACTACAAAGAATACACCAAAGGATTACAGTCATTCCATTCAGCTCTGTGGCAGTTTAAAGCACAAAATAAGTAAGTTGGTAGTTTTCTTAATCAATGGTTAGTAGTAAGAATTTCCACGTTGTCATATATTTGTATAGAACACGACTTTCCAAGAAGTGTTTTGGCTATAAAATGGACACAAATTACATGTCCAGGAAAATTGTATAATAATCTTATTACCAAACATTTAGCCACGAATCAAGGACAGTAAAACCTTGATTTAATGCCCCTGGTTTATATACAGTAAAACCTTGATTTAATGCCCCTGGTTTCATTGGCCACCTCGTTTACCACTGTATTTCAATGTCCTTTTCCCTTGTTTAATCACCAAACCCCTTTATATCACCAACATTTCTGTGGACAAATGGTGGCAGTACAACAAGGTTTTACTGTATATCAATTCTATAACAATTTATGTTTTATAGTATACCTCGGGGGTAGATAATCAGGGGAGGTAACAATCCTCGAACCATGTCCTCTTCACTGAGCAAACTGAAATACTGCAGTTAAAATATAAACTTAAATCAAATATGAACAACATCTTGATTTTTTATCCTATATGCAGTTTAGTCTTTCTACTACTAATCCAGCGGGTATGATAAATATATATGGGTGACCCATTATCCAGATGTCATTTCTTGGGAAAGACGTTTCTTGGGAAAGACGTATCTTTTCACATTTGTCCCAATAATCTGGAGGTTATACAATCCTGCCAGTTAAAAAGGTGGCTAGATTCATAAGGCTCAATTTTAGTTATTTCTATAGTGAAATCAGTTTCTCTTAGAATATCTAGTGTATATTTTCCCTCAGAAATTTAAAATGGAGTGGGTCCCATGACTTGGTTTAAAGATCTGAAGTACTTTTACTCGACAAAGTATTTGTAGTGATGTTTAATCGATTGTTACTCATCAATAAAATAAGTTTGAATAAATACAATATTTGAAAAGCATTTGTTATAGTTTAAGTTACAACTGTCATTGTAATTTTGCAACTGATTGAAATTCTATCATTATTTTACACTTTATAATGGTTATAAAACTACATATATGTACTTACATTTAAGAATGCAAGGAACAAAAACTTGTTTTATTTTATTATGAAAATTTGAAATCTGTCATAGTAATTGGTAGGCCTATTCAAACAATTTTTGGATACTTCCAATTATTTAAAAAACAACATAACAACTATATATATGCCATATGTAATGTCATGTCCAGTAAACAAGCGTTCGAAGGTATAATCCAATCTCTACATCAAGACCTTGTGGCCTTCACTTGACCATGTTGATGATAAAACTGGCACTGTAACTCACCATCTGAAACATTGTACTCATCTCTTCATCACTCCTCACTGTGATTCTATCACCTTCCTCGTCCTCATCTGTAAACATCCAATGTCACTCATGTATCGAAGCTTTACTTTATAAATGATACAAAATCTACATACCAAATGTGTTGCAATATTCAAGACTGACTATCCGGGTATATATTTATATACATGTATTGAGAATCACATAAATATATACCCTGATCGTACGCATGATTGGATCTGTCAATGGTTGACCAATGATATTTTCTTTTGTTACGCAACAAATTTCATTTTAGGGAACATTTTGTACAGCCTTTTAAGGATGTCATATTCATAATCATACTTACATTCAAACGCAGTGATAGACGCTTGTGGTAATACTTGTGAAATGACTTCCTGAAATAGATATGGAAATAAGTTAATTGGTACTAAAATAAAAGACGAACTAGAATTGTCATATGACACTGATTCCTTAATGGCTGCAATAGAGTACACTGGACTCCTGAACGGAGAGGTCGCCCCAAACCATGTGGCGGCGCACAGTGGAAACAGAGCTCAGTGACATGGATCATAGCTGGGAAACTATCGAGCTATTAGCAAAGGATCAATAGGTGCGGAGGAACATCGTTGCTGCCCTAAACAGCTTAACGCCATCGGGCGTAATACGCAGTAAGTAACAGATTCCTTACAATGTACCAGTGCTAAAGCAACACTGGAATTGTAAGTTTATGAGGAACAAGGTTACCGCGAGCGGTATATAATACGCCCGTCACACATTGAATGAGCAGTTGTTTGTATGATTGAAATATATGAAGTATTTGTGAGTAATTTATATTAAAAGAGAAATCATTCAACATAACTGGTAGATCAATGAGTGCAATACAACATCATGGAACGCATGCATCGCATTAATGAAACTGTTTCGGCAAGTCCATAAAGGGGCATAACTCCACAACTTATGGTCCGATAATGGCGGTTATCGAACTTGTCCGAGGTTTTTCTTGGGAATTAACCTTGTTGTGAAGTTTGAAGTTAATCTGTTAATGATAACTCGAGATATCAAGCGGACACTGTTTCGGCAAGTAAAGGGGCATAACTCCACAAATTATGGTCGGATAATGGCGGTTATCGAACTTGTCCGAGGTTTCATGGTAATTAACCTTGTTGTGAAGTTTGAAGTTAATCCGTTAATAATTACTCGAGATATCGAGCGGACTCGGTTTCGGCAAGTCCATAAAGGGGCATAACTCCACAACTTATGGTCCGATAATGGCGGTTATCGAACTTGTCCGAGGTTTTTCTTGGTAATTAACCTTGTTGTGGAGTTTGAAGTTAATCTGTTAATAATAACTCGAGATATCAAGCGGACACTGCTTCGGCAAGTAAAGGGGCATAACTCCACAAATTATGGTCGGATAATGGCAGTTATCGAACTCGCCCGCCCACCCGTTCACGTGATAACATAATACGTCCCCGTCTTCCGACGGGTGTATAAAAAGGATGTACATTGTATGTACTTCTTTTCATTTTTAGAATGTTTCATCTCATCGGACCCATTTTATAGAAAATACATTTTCATAGAGTATAGGTTTATGTTTTTAAAAACATGACTTGAGTTATACAAATTCGGTGCAAACACAGGTCACTCAATATAATCATGTAGAACAGGTCAGAGTTTACATAGAATTCATAAGCCACTGTTCATTGTCAGTGTTGTATGACTTATTGCCAAACAGTCTATCAATTATAGATTGGAATCTCATTGTATGATATTGATGTTAAAACACTATAATCATACTCATAGGGTTAAGAAGCTGGTTGAGATATGAGGTAATGTTGATAGAGGCTGTCTTTCCTTATAATATACATATCTTCTCTGCACCCCAGCTGGAATACCGCCTGATCGTGACAATATTGAAGGCTCACAGTAAGTTATTTGATTGGTTTCGAATAAAAAAAAAGAGACCATCTCTAGGCCAATACCAGTGTAAAAGATGTGCATTGATTAGGTTGCCTTACAAGCGTCAGCTGTAGGGAATTTCCCTTTTAGCTCAGCGGTAGAACATCGGACTGGAGAACCAAGGATCGAGGGTTCGAGTCCCAGTGACAGCAGTCACGAAACAGCCTTTGACTTTGTCATGACGTATTCCAGGGTAGAGTTGTAGAATAGATACATGTATTGAACCCCTTGGATTCGAGAAGGTGAGAGAGCAGGACTTCCAGTTGACCCTTGACATTTATCAATTTCAAAGTAAAATTAAAATAGAATTGTCCTCGAATTCTGGAGAGTTCAAACATATTTCGATCGGACCTGTCTTAAAACTGAAGAGTGAAAGCTCATTTTAGAGAGTCAAAAACATACTCTCAACGGTCTATTAAAAGACTTGATAGAGGATATTATTTACTGCCTCTCAGAGTAATAGATAGAAATCCTATTTTCCAAATGCTGGTGGCCACAGTAATAATGAGTATCAGAATTCTTATCAGTTATGAGTCACAAGTTATTAATAAAAGGCTAAAAATAAAATGACCAAAATGTAGTCAAATAGACAACATGTTGTATATATAAAGAATTAAAATAGTGCATTTTCACATTAAATTAAACAGAAGAATTGAATCGATAGACAACTTTTCAAATGTCTTTTACTGGTTTTAGGCCTATTCAGTACAGTTTACCTGTTTACTCTACTTGAAGTAGTCAGCATGATCATCATCACTGATCATCAGGGATCGTTTTCTTACCAATGCTTGGTGGAATGTGATTTCTCCTGGTTGTACCATCCAGTCCATATCCTGTTCCTGTTCTGTGCGAATTCTCACCGTAAACGGCGGTTGGGCATTCATGTTGACACCACTGCAGGATTACGTCTGTAAAACCATTTTTAAGTTAACCATTCGGCATTCTCTATACCAAGGGAGACAACTACTTTACTTCCTGTGGCTAGGGGTAAAACGCGGAAAATTAACCGTTGGGATTAAAAAACCCAGGAGTAAATCAAAGTGAAACAAGTGGAATGCACTTCACCCCCTATATGAAACAGACATTTTTAGCGGGTCAAGATTAAACCCATAACTTTTAAAGTCAAAGTGAGAAAAATCAGTCGTAAATGATTTTAGGTCAATACTAAAACACGAAACAATCAGTCATTGCAGGATCGGAGTGTTGAGCGGGGGGTGGGGGAAATTCATGAAACTAAAAAGTTAATGTTTTCTGCGCCGAAAAGACGACAATTGTTCAACCTAAATTAATAGGTTGAATAATCTTCGTCTTTTTGGGGCAGAAAACGAAACAACGAAATAGTAAACATCGTAGGCAAAGATTCATACGGTCAACGTGGTGATGATATAAAATGTATTTAACTTTTGTTCTTTCGTAGACGAGAGAGGTTTTCTCGCATATCCCACTGAATCGTCTCTAGTGTCCTGTTCAAGAATTTTCTGTCACCCCGCACTGGGCATGACAGAAAAATACACGCGAAAAAACACACCCAACAAAACAAGATAATGGCATTCGATTACATGTTGGGAACAATAAGTTCAGTACAACGTCACTATCACCTTCCGATGGTAGGGTCATTTCCAAATCAAACATGCCAGATGACTGTCGAAGGAGTTGTGACCGAAATAGAGTTAATATTTCTCTATCATACCTTCGCCGAAGGGGACGACTTGTTTTCTCCCATTTCCTTCTTCTATACGTTTGAAAACAATAAATTTCATCATTTATAATCCATGCTATATAATTATTTGCACATGACCTCTCCCGTTGAAAGGTTTTATGACGTGTTCTATTGTTCCTATTCTCCCAGGACTATATCATGCGATTTTAACAAAGAAACGTCAGGTCTGACGTTCATCCTCGATATCCAGGGGCTACGCTCACTTTCGCTCTCTACACCCCGGAATATGTCGTAGCAAAATTGAAGGCACGTGGCTAGGTATTTGATTGGTGTCAGGTAAAAAAAAAACCAGACTATTCTTTTGATGTACAGCAAAGAATCAAACTAGCCTTCTCGTTTCGTCCTCAAAGTGCTGAACACGGACCTTCGATTTTTCTATGACATATACCAGGGGTGCAGCATCCTCTATTCTTCAGAGGTTACGCTCACTTTCACTCTCTGCACCCCTGGAATATGTAATATGGAATATGTAATATGGAGGCACGCCACGCTATTTGATTGATCTCAGGTAAATAAGCCTGACCAATCGCTAGGCTGTACCTGTCATTTGAAGAGTCTTCTCGTCTCATCCGCAAAATGGCGGACGCTTAGCCTTCAATTTTGCTATGCCATATTCCAGGCGTGCAGAGAGCGAAAGTGAGCGTAACCCCCGGATCCAGGATGGGTGTGCAGATAGCGAAAGTGAGCGTATCCCCTGGTGTGTCCAGGATGGGTGTGCAGATAGCGAAAGCGAGCGTAACCCCTGGAGTGTCCAGGATGGGCGTGTAGATAGCGAAAGTGAGCGTAACCCCCGGATCTAGGATGGGTGTGCAGATAGCGAAAGTGAGCGTTTCCCCTGGTGTGTCCAGGATGGGTGTGTAGATAGCGAAAGAGAGCGTAACCCCTGGTGTGTCCAGGATGGGTGTGTAGATAGCGAAAGAGAGCGTAACCCCTGGTGTGTCCAGGATGGGTGTGTAGATAGCGAAAGAGAGCGTAACCCCTGGTGTGTCCAGGATGGGGGTGTAGATAGCGAAAGTGAGCGTATCCCCTGGAGTGTCCAGGATGGGTGTGTAGATAGCGAAAGTGAGCGTAACCCCTGGTGTGTCCAGGATGGGTGTGTAGATAGCGAAAGTGAGCGTATCCCCTGGTGTGTCCAGGATGGGTGTGCAGATAGCGAAAGTGAGCGTAACCCCTGGAGTGTCCAGGATGGATGTAAAGATAGCGAAAGTGAGCGTATCCCCTGGAGTATCCAGGATGTGTGTGCAGATAGCGAAAGTGAGCGTATCCCCTAGAGTGTCCAGGATGGGTGTGCAGATAGCGAAAGTGAGCGTAAACCCTGGAGTGTCCAGGATGGGTGTGCAGATAGCGAAGGTGAGCGTATCCCCTGGAGTGTCCAGGATGGGTGTGTAGATAGCGAAAGTGAGCGTATCCCCTGGAGTGTCGAAGATGTCTGATGCTTTGTTCTACAACACTATGTCGTCACACCTGAAATTGGCCCTATAGAGCGTATTAATTTATTTTATATTTCATACGTCAAGAATCGCTTACAGTTACCACTGAAATACTTCAAGGGCATTATTAGGTCCATTATTCTTTCTCATATACTGGTCATTTTCCTTATCAGATATCCACAATCGTTGCCATTGAAGGAGGATATAAAACACAGCAAGAGAAAAGGTCGATAAATATTTGAATACAATAACAAACTCAGTCAGTCGGAATGCTTTTTAAACTGTCAAATTTTTGCACAAAGACATGTTCCTCACCTTGGTTTTAATCACAGGGACCTGTAGATATTGTAACAGATGTGTTCAAAGTCATATTAGATGTTCCGGGGATTTAGAAAAAAAAACACGTTAAAATGCCACTCCAAATAATGGCAAAAGTAGGGGTGGCATCATTATCAAAAAAATAATTTGAAGCGGAACTGGACTAGGACGGTCGTCGGTAGCTCAATTGGTAAAACGTCCGTCTAGAGTTAGGAGGGTCCCGGGTTGGATTCCGGTCTGATATGTCGATAGTTACATTGACAGAGGTTTTAAAACCGTAGCCTCCGAATTACAGCATTGCATTCGCTTAAATAAAGACTAAACGTACATATCTTTGCAGTTTTAAGAACGGGAAAAGAGCTTACGGTGACGTCTTTATCCATATAAACTCTGAACAATTTTAACTTGTCTGTTTGTAAAAGCCGTATATAATACAACAAAGATGGTTATAGACATTGAAATATTTAATTACACGTACAGTGTACTAGTATATCAAAACAATATTTATAGGAAAAAACACTAAGTTGCGCCCCTTAAATTAGGACACATATTCCATATACACTCCATGTAACATTTTATGTCATTGTGATTCAACTATCATATATAATTCTGTGTATCCCTTGATGTCTGCCTCTCCATCCAAGCCTGTAGACACTGGTCCTGTTTGGCCATTGATCCATTTCCCAAGAGTGGCCGTGCTCCAGTTTCTGTCAAATCAAGGATGGCGCCTGGCAACACGTATTCCTCGGCTGACACCACAGTGCAAGGGGTTCGAAACCCGCGTGTTGCGGCTGGACGTACTCTCTTGTCATTTGAAATCTGGCTGATACAAAATCCTTGGACTGCTTTCCGTTGGATCCTATTGTCATTCGGAATTGATGATAAAGATTTCACCTGATCTACTTCGTCAATCACAGCCTGCATGTCCTGTTCCAATTTCATGACATCTGCGGTGATATCAGCACCACAGCGATTGGCACTGAATGGTTTCCTTTGACCTTTCGCGGCTTGTGGTCTAGAGATGTTGACCTTCAACCAAGATTCAATCTTCCACATTTTTCTTTTCTTTTCTATGACCTGCAAATCAGTGTCGTCGTCATCTTCAGAGATACCCTCAACACTCACTGTTTTTGTAAGTGATATTTCTTCTGACTTGTTCTTTTCCAAAACGTCGGTCATTGCAACTTCTAATTTAGACATTGGCCTCGAACTGTTTGCGTTTCCAACTACAGGAGACTTGCTCAATATTCCTGATACCTTCTGGATGCGAGACGATGTTCTTGAATCTGAGTTATCCTTTACTTTTCTTATTCTCCATCTTCTCCATCCCCAGTGGAGCTTCTTTCCATTCTTACGACCAACTGCAGAGAGCATAGTCCTGGATTCTGTACAGCCCATGATTAACTATTATCAAAATAAATCTTTCTTCCAGTATGTCAGGGTAACACGGTTGCGCGATCCCGAAATGCACATGAAAGCTGACTGTGACGTCATTCATAGTGTACGTGATAATGCTTGTCACATGATTAGCAACACACACTAGCCTTGGATTAGCTGATTCAGCATTTGCTCCGGATACTATCTTGCGAATAGTGATTTCTATTGTCAATATTTTTATATTATTTAGGGTATTAAAAATGTATAGGCTCAGAGGTTTTCTCTTTGCTACAATATTGATAATCTACATAACTCCAATTAACTTGCCAGTGACTATATATATATAAGACTATCAAAAGATTTATTTACTGATTTATTTTCGATGAATTCCAGTGGATTATATACCCTGTCTAAGAATAATTAGAAGAAACAATATCGGAAGTAGAAAGAGAGATGGCGCGTGCAGGGCAAATATGGTCCCATTGTGGACAAATGTATTTTAAATGCTCATGAAGAAACTTTCTAATGCGGCTGTCCGTGTGACACCAATCCCCTACTGAGGGGAGCCTTAATTACCTCTTGACCCTGTGTGAGTGCCTCAGCTACCTCAATGTCGCTGACTGCGTGACCAACACGAAACCCCCCTCCATGAGGGATGGAAATTATACTACCTCCGTGAGATGGTCCCTGGTTCCGAACACTCTTTAAATGTACCTGACCCCCATACCAGGGAAACCAACCAATTGGCCACCCAAAAGCCGCCTGGCACCCGCGGTGCTGACCTCTTGACCTCTAAGAGGTCGCCCCTCACTCGGGGTATTGCGAAACTGAACCTCCGTAAGCTGACCCGCGCCGGGTATAGCAAACTGCTGGCCTCCTGAAGGCTTCCTAGCCCCTGAGATGATAAAATCTCGACCCCCGAGCCGACCAGGGTACGATCTCCGTGACCTCTCCGAGGCTGCGCCCCGCTCGGGCCGTCATCACCAAGACCTACTGCGGGTCGCCCCTCATAGGGATTACTACTACTGTAGAATTTACGTGTATCTGCAACCATACCTAGTCCTTGTCTAACGGTTAACATTCCCACGTGCTACATAGCGTACGACATCGCATTGGACATGCTGCAGGTAGCCCCCGTATCCTTCCACAGACGCGTCGGTGCAAACCACGACGTCACA